CCTACCTTTATACTTTTTATTCTGTTTGTTTTGTAATCTAGAGCACTGTATAAGACATCAAACATATATTGATTGCAAATATACATGTAATCCAATTCCTCCGCTTTAATTGCATTTGAATAAAAAAAATACCAGTAACTAACATACTCCTATTATCTGTAAGATGCAAAGTGTATTATTACAAGTTTAATAATATACGAACTTTAGTTGTTTTTTTCATTTCTTACTCCTTTAAGCATTGAAGATTATTCGGTTTCTGATACGTTGTTTTATATATGTTCTTTGTATCTATCTTAATTCAACCTCTTATTTGTACCACCAATTATCGAAAATTTTTACCGTTTCTTTTTTTAATGGATTGTAAACTATAGTTCACAAATTTTTTGGGTTTACATAATGATCATACATAGTGTTTAAGTATAGGAAAGACGCAGCTTTCACATAATACTTGGAACTCCACAAACTCTACCTTTTTGATGAGTTTTTGTGTAAGACCCATAGAATAGCAAAAGTTTTTCGATTTCAAAACACAAAAGAAGTACGTCAAGACCAGAATGTCTCATCCGACATGATAGACTTCATCCTTGGCTGAGATATCTGAATATTGAAGAGATGATTGGCCATTTTTGAAAAATACTGTAATAACTCCTATGTTTCTTAGTACAGAAAGTGGTAATGTACTAAACTTATTTATTAATTAATTTATTTATTTGTTATTTATTCAGTCATAGCCTTTATTTGTTGTTAATAATTTTAGTTTGATAGCTTACTTCTGTAGGCTACCTTTTTGTAAAATGCTGTTACCGTGGAAATAAATGAATTCTATTGAAACTTGCTTAGGTTTTAAAGGTGAAATAGTAGCCTAATTATGTAAAGTGATTTAAAATTTAAACCAATACGTATTCATCTTCAGGCTTAATTTATATCGCCTACTAGTGTTCAAAATCCACAAAGAGCTAAATGTAAAATCTCACTTTGGTACTATTAGGCACTTGAACTATAAACTTGGTTTTGTTTATATCTCAGTATTTAGTTTGTCTTCTGTTTGTATTAAGATGTTTATTAAACAAAAATTATATAGAAAGAATTAATCCGTTCATACGAATTCAGGGGGGGGGGGGGCAACAGTGATGAAGACAAATGCCTTGAGTAAAGAGGTGGAGATAACAATAAGGTTTTAAAAGTATAGTAGAATGGTATCACTCAAAGTATTTGTTTCCATTTTAAATCCTTATAGCACCGTATAACACTTACCATGTTATTAACATACATTTTTTAATTAAGTGACACAAGAACTATATGGTTTGGAAGGTACCTTATGTGTTCCAACTAGGAAGAAAATCATCTGTAGAGTATTTATTCTTGCGACATGTACATTGATAAAATGTATTTACATCAATAACAAACGCCTAATTATCCAGTGATTTGCATTGGACGAGACGCTGAAGAACCGTCAACAGCTTATCGGCGATCTCATCCTCTTAGGAAGCACGGGCAGAGCAACTAGTAATTTACAGTTACGGTACATTATGTATTAAAAGATGATTGTTGAAAATAGAATACCATAAACACTGTGACGTCAGAGGACAATGAAGCAGAAAGAGAGAGATAAAGAGATAAACAACACAAGAAGACAAAGAACGACAGATGGCACGACAGTCGCTGAAAGCTTCTGTTCTTAACTTAATAAATTACTGCTTAAAGTAAATAGATCGTCTCTTCTAAACGTACTTCACTTGCATAGGCTTCGCTCGACAAATACAGTTGGGATTTAGTAGTTTGAACACTTTACTGTAAAGAATTTGTACGACGTTTAGTAATAATATATCATGGATGTTAAACATATCGAATTGTCCTCAGTCACATAGATTACATAACAATAAATCAATTTATTTAACTAAATGTATTATTCAACTTTATCTACAATGTTTGCAATTGAGTCTGTCACCAACCCTAAAAAAAGCTTAATGCTAGCCCTATCCAAATGTTTGTGTATTATTACAATTAATTTACACTACTTATTACACGTAATCTCTTTCAAACCAACCTAGCTTAAGTTAAAAAATACATTTTCAATCCGACCCAGGTCCATATTGAATTAAATGGAAAGATCGTTTTACTAATAATTAGTACTTCGGATATTTTTGTCATATATAAAAACAAATTTAAAATTTCTAATACAGTTTTGTATGCAAGTCTTATTATACAATAAGTTATTTCACTAGTATTTCTTTCGCTTGTCTGAATATTTGGGTAAGTAATAGTCCTGTAAATCTGTTTTTAACTAGATTTGGATAAATTATTCTAGATCTTTATGTGATTTCGTTTTCATTGGGCTATCAATGAGTAATGAAATATAACACATTTTTACATTAAAAAGCTACAAAAGTAAAATAAGAACTGTTCCCTTACGAATAATGTCTAATTGCCAACGGCGTGGAGGGTTAAGACTAAGCAATAAATAATCAAGCAAAACAAATAGTCTAGTTGTACCTACTAAAAATAATGAACAGCTTTAAAGGAAGGTAGACTTTACTCGGTTCAGATTATCACGGCTCGTTATCTACCCTGAAGGAAAATATTTGATGATTACCGAACTGAGAAAACAACAAGGTAAATTAGTTGGATTTTACAATATAATGATTAATTATTAACTATTTTCTAAGCTACTAACCTGAGTATAACATTTAAAAGTATTAATGTTCCCATTCCTTTGTTTCTCCGCAAAAAAACTTGCGTTTTGTGATTATTTTCATTAGCGAAACCTAATAAAAATTAATGGATACTTAAAAAATAACGATGATGTAATTTTGTTTAAAGTAATAACAACGAGTTTTCTAAAGCAAATGTATACTTTAATTTTTGCCATAGCATTTAGCTTGCAGTTTAAGAAATACACACAGACCACTAAACATACATAAATACAAATATATTCAGGATGAATCGCGTAAGGTATGCAATATTGATAACAGACAAAATGTTGGTACAGAAATGATGAACGTAGTCAACATTAAAATTGTAAACCACATGTGCAACAGCATGTCATTTCAAGGTCGGGCGATTCTAAGCAACTTACAAACTAAACTTCATCTGTAAATTTGTTAGTTTTTGAGTTATTAACTAATGACCCAGGTTTCTTATATTCAATGCATGTTAATTATTTTCTTAAAATCCATGTGTGTAGCCCTGAGCTGTTGGACATAATGTAAGACTAAATTACTTACGTAATTCCCGTCACAGCTCAATAAAATATGTCTATTCAGGACATGTTTCGGTGTTAAAACACCATCGTCAGCTTCAGGTACATAGTGTAGAGTTGATCAGCTGTTAACATCGTCAGAAGATAAACACAGCACGAACATGAATAAACACATAAAACAATTAAACATTAAAAAAGGCCTGTTCTAACAAAGATGACCGACCGCCCAGGTAGCAAGGGACAGACTAAGCCAGCTTACGCTTATCAGTTGTGTGAAAGAGATATTGGGCAAGGATCAGCTGTTGTAGGATGGACGGAGTTATTGATGAGTGAATAAAAAATGGTGTGGAAACTGAACTGCAGTTTTCGTTTAATATAGTCTCACGGGTGCTAACGTTGTTAAAACTTTTGTATATTTCATACTCCTCTAGAGTGTCCATCTTTTTCCCTTTTCTGCAAGTGTGTAGAATTTCCAAGCTGTCAATATTTCCCATTGTATGATTGAAGTCTAATAAATGTTGGGCGAAGGTGGATTTTTGTTTGGTTAAACTGGAAACTGGTCTGTGCTCTTTAAACAATGTTTTGAAACTTCGTCCTGTTTGGCCAACCTACATACTAGGGACATTCAGCGCATTTCAGTTTATAAATGCCAGTTTTACTATGTATGTCCTTTGCGGTCGTTTTTGAGGCTAATATATTTTTTTAATCTGTTGCTAGTGTTGAACGCCAACTTTATGTTATTTTTCTTTAATTCTTTTCCCAAACAATCATGTATGTTCTGAGAATAATCAACACATACGTATTTTGGTTTTAGGCAATGTTGTCCCTAGTAATATTGTTTTTATTTTTATGTTTTTGGATTAGTTTGTCCACAATATTACTTTTAAAACCACCACCATTTTTAATTCACTAATCAATAACTCCGTCCATCCTGCAACACCTGATCCTTGCCCAATATCTCTTTCTCTCTCACACAACTGATAAGCATAAGCTGGTCTAGTCTGTCCCTTGCTAACTGTGCGGTCGGTCATCTTTGTTAGAACAGGCCTGTTTTTTAAATGTTTAGTATTTATTCAGGTTCGTGCTGTGTTTATCTTCTGACGATGTTAACAGCTGATCAACTCTAAATTATGTACCTGAAGCTGACGATGGTGTTTTAACACCGAAACATGTTCTGATTAGACATATTTTATTGAGCTGTGACGGGAATTACGTAAGTAATTTAGTCTTACATTAATTATTTTCTGTTGTGTCAAAGAGATTACTGATTTATTAGGATAAGGTCATTGACACCATATTTTTAAGACTATATCAACCATTGGTTTTTCAATAGGAAAGATAGTGTCAAGTAAGCTAACTTATGTCAATGGAACATAATTTTACCGACTGTGAAACCTATTACTGAACATATTGCAAGTCTGCTCCACCAAATATTATTAGCCTACACATTATCTGATATTAAATTCAATCTATTATACAACGTAGATTTCTGATGCAATAAAAAAAAATAAAAGCGTGTTAAAAATGTAACGACAGCAAAAACTGATCGTTTAATGTTTTTTAATTGTACATATAGTTTTTTTTTAATGTTATTATGTTTGTCAGACTCTATGACGACCAAAAATATGTTACTTTTTTGCCATCGTTGATGAGTCCTAACTTCACTGAAAGAAAATATGAATATTTTGTACATTGGTAAGAAACTGTGACAGTTAAACTCAATGAAAATGTTCATAGTTCACCTTCAAACAGCTGTTGTACAACTGTTCATAATTAATTATATCTCACAACCAACCTATCAGTCTAGCTCCAAACATGGCCCGATGTAACATATCAATATGCGTTTCTGCTATCGTTCTTCTTGTGGTAAGTAAATTCCTATAGCAATAAATTGGGGCTAAAAGTCTCTATCGAACGTTGTTAAATAGTGTATATTTAAATTTCTATGACAGTAGAAACAGTTTAAATAAAGCAACTAAAACACATAATATGAAAGTAATTTAAAATAAAAGAAACATCATAATATCAGTGATCGTTTTAGTGCATGAGGTCAAATTCTAAATAAAAATTAATTACTCATAATGCGAAAACATTTTTTATCTTGCGTGTTTAGTGAAATGCTAAATCGAAATAAATCTTTATCAAGCAGATTAGAACAATTTTGAGACAAAGATCGGGCATTCCTATCAGCTTACCTTATTGTTTTAAAATAAACTATTACACGCTTAGAAAGTTCTATGTTTTACTAAACAATCCAACTATTTTACTCTAACAAATTCAGTAAAAGCTGAGGCTTTGGTATTTAGCACAAGTTAATTCTCAAAAGTGTGTTTTAATTTGATTACTCATTTGTAGGTCCTAACAAAAGTTTCTCTCGGTGTGAACCAAGGCACGTCTCCAGGTAGGTTTCAGTTTCATATTTTAGTACTAAGGAGCCAAGCTTTGCTCGAAATGGTCATGAGTATGATTGTTTCCTTGCACATTAAAAAAGGATATCATCAAACTCCATTTGTAGACTTTGAAATAAGGGCACAGTAAATTGGAATGAAAATACTCTATCACAGCATACATACAGTTTGTTGCCACAGAGAAAGTGCTAAAGTGGGTTTTATTGAAATGTTAATACTGTATTTCAGTATCAAAATATATTCGCAAACAAGCGATCTGTAACAGTTGGTTTTATATTCAGAGAAATAACATGGCAATTTAAAGAGCATTTTTTCGATTTTCGGTATAACTAATAGGCATACAACAACGCTTTAAAGTACTAAAATATGTGTTTTAATCTCAACAAAATAGTTTGGAAGGATATGTGAAATCTTCATATTTTGGGCGTTAAAAATGGGAAAACAAGGCTTTTAACCTGTAAAGCCACGATGCCATAGTCTGACTATACAAGTCTGATCTGTTATAGTTTGTCAACTCGTTCAATTAAATGTAGGTTTAGCCTACACGTTTGTACACTAAATCTTGACTTCATTAAAATCGGATGATTTTTACTCGAGTTAAAGTGCTAACGGATACAATTTTGTTTGTACATTGCGTAGAATCATGAAGTTTTCGGTTATTTTTTTAGTTTTATACCAAGGAAGCCGAAATGTCTGGGTCGCCAAAATTCCAATCTACGTGGCCTACTCTTAGAAAACTTGGGTTCATCATGATTAAAAAAAGTATTCGTTAAATAACACGCACACACGTATATATATAAATTTGAAAGAATTGTGGTTTTTCATATTTTGGTTTCTGGGGCCTCAAAACGAAAAAGTAAATTGGTCTCAGGCCCAGGTCTTAACATGATACCCACGGTAATTTGTCTGTATAGGAAATTTGCTAAAACCCAAAATAGACTTTACACATATTATGTACCTACTAGAGAACCCGTGCGGCTTAATGAGTCGCAAAATATGAAACATAACGCCGAGGAAAACGTTATTCTAAAATTCGAGTAATTCTAGTTACATCTTAGAGTTGTTTGAAACTAAATATCTCTATTTGCGTCGTCAAGGGTCACCTACATTATTTCTGCTCTCAGTTTTAACTGATAACTTCTAATTAATGCTAAACGATCTGCTTCCATTCGAGTTAACATGTTGCATCAACGTTTTTCCAGCATTGTGAATTGAAGAAAATTGTTGCCTTACCGAAAACCTGTGTTAATAATTACATCAATTCTATTATTTCGAATTTTGAAATATGTTAAAATTGTACTTGTAGTTTCTAGCGCAAATGTCCCTCCGCCACCTATTCTCAACGAGGATGAGGCAAGAAATAAATTCTGTCAATCGCAAGAGCCAGAACCAAAACTGACGGTGGTTCGCTTCTTGGATCTTGAATGCTGCGATAAAGGAACAAAAAACAAAAAAAATGGACTTTTGTTTTTGTACAATATTCTGGTTTTAAATATAGAACTGGACAAATGTGATGATACCATTAAGGATTTTGTCAAGCTGGAGAATGATGACACGCTCAAGGTTCAGACCAAAGACAAGTGCATTGTGTATAAGAACTATTACCGCCGTGAACCTGAAACTAAAGACGTTATTTGCTTATTTCAGGGGGTATGTAGATAATTTAAGATATAACTTATGCATATTTAGTCGTAAAACTTAAAAAAAATTAATCACCAACGATTGGTTGGAAACAATTTCAGGCTCGGTTTAATGGTTTGGTGGATGAGTTGATGTACTCGCCTGGTAATTGAAAGGTCACACTAGTTCAATCCTCAACATTCAATAGCTTCTCTATGGTTAAACAGTAGCCAGATCTCCTTTGATCATCGGGCTTGCCTCACCAATGAAACAGATAATAATCCGTAATAATCTGTACAAGTCATTTCACTTGGTTATTTTATTATTTTATCTTATGTTGGCTAAAATACGCACCTAGGCGGCGCTTCTTATTCCAATCGGTAATTTGTTGTTTGGTAATGTGCATAATATGCTAAATACTTTTTTTGTAAATACTGAAAACGTTTTTGATAGTATACATTGAAAGTCTTGTTATTTTATGTAACTGTCAAGCACGTAAGCAATTAAATTTTAATGGTTAGAACATTTCAAAATTTTATTTGTACAGAGTAGAGAGATTTTAGGATATCGGCCATAAATTATGATATAGAGTTTAAATATATAAATAGTCATGTTTCGGATAAACAACTTATTAAGGCTAAAAAGGTTTTCCATTGAAAAGAACTGCTCAAGGTTGTCTAGTTATCTTATCAAAGTTGCAGCCATAGGATATTTTTTTTATCAAATAAGGAGTGAATGAAGGGTGATTTAAATTAATTTAGATTTTCATACCTGCACAGAGAAGTAATTATTCTTACTTCTATGTGATGCCTGTCAAAAATTACTGAAAATGTGTACGTATCTTTTTTATTATTCAGGTACGAAAACTTATATTCTAATGCCAGTACAGAACAAATAATAAGGCTAACATTTTGTATTTCAATAATTTTTCCCTTACATACATCAATAGAGAGAGTCATAATTATATTAAAGCATAAATACTCACCGAACGGTTTGTTATGGCCCTTATGAAATTACCATGATTTAATCTTCTTAAATGTGTAAACATAAAGAAAAACGTTTTCTTTACTTTTGAAATACGAAGCAGGTCTCACTTTGGTAGTGTCCACCTTTTTACCAATTAAAATTATCCACTGAAACCACGTAAAAGATATGAATAAAAATAAAATAAAACTTAATCTTAAAATTTATTCAGCTAATCCAAAAACATTACAGTATCAGACTATAAGCGAGGATGTTCAAGCCACAGTTGTGATTAAGTTTCGTTGGCTTATTTTGATTTATTGTCTTTTGTAGGACCGACGTAGATCTGAAGATTCTCCAGGTATGTTGTAGTTTATAAACTCTTAGTTTGCCTCCAACAACAGTGTGGCCGGTTCTTAAACCTCAATCTTTTTGAATAACGATTTAGAGGTCGCGCAGAAAAAAACCTTTTTGATGTGGATTATATGATTTGTTTGGACAAAAATTTAATATAAAAACAATTTGTCACTTATCGATTACGTTAAAACTTACAACATTATGAAAATTAAAATGCAGCTTTGATTGTTTGCGTCATCCAGTTTTCTTATCTGAGCCATTACTAGACACGTCTCGCAAGGACCTACTATTGGCTCACTGATTTAGTCATCAAACGTCAGCATTAATTAATAGCAAGGATTAATTGATAATCAAAAACACGATACAAACCAGTAGTATAATTCTGACACCAAAGGGTTTATGGGGTATTGTCGTCTAGGTTGATTACAATATTCAGGTTTTGAAGATAATACGCCTAAAACGTATAACTGATACTTTTAGATTGTAATGGTTCCTCAACACGAGAAAATGAGGAACCTAACTATTCATTCTCAATTTGTATTGGTTATAACTATGTCTTGTATTCTTAATTATTTGTAAATTGTTAATTTGTTGTATTGATGAATGAATACAGATATTTTGAATTGAATTGAATTGATACAAAGTGAAAACGTTCCATTTGGGTAAAACCACATGATATAATCAATAGAGATCGATGGATACAATAGACGAACAATTATAAAGCATTAAATATATAAATAGCCGATACTTTTAATACTTTATAATTGCTCGTAATATAACCATTACTCTGTGGAATTTTGTAATTATACTTTTATCATTGTTCTAGTCAATGGTGCGACTGCCCCCAATGAACTACTAACGGTGAATGGAGCAGTAGCAAAATTCAATATCGACGAAAGTATATCTAGTAAATTGCTAACAGACACAAAAAGGACGTACAAGGACTTGGATTTAAAGAACGAAAGGGTTGATTTAAGCTACTACCTTTATTGCTATGAATCGATCAAAACTGGGCTCTTGTTTTATAAAAACAGGTTTGTTTTGAAGATGGATTTGGCTAAATGTGATGACAGCCTATGGAAATATGTGAAGCCGGAGAAGATGGACAATAGACACGAGATCATGGTGCACCACAAATCCGGGTGTACCAAGTTTACACAATACTTCTATGGACTACATGCCCAAGATGTCCGTTCCCTTTGGTAGGTACTTATTCTAAGAATGTTTATACACTTCTATGTCGCATTTAGCAACGACGTAAACTTGCAGTAATATGCCGTAAGTTTGATATGCACACATTGTTAAAAAAAAAACTTTAACTAACCTGCATTAATGCAAAATTAAGTTGCGTGACAGCTAGCAGTGAAAATTAATGTCTAACTCGACAGCTTAAATAATATTTTGGTGCATTTGAAATATTTTAATGTTGTTTGAATATTAAAATTTTCAATGATAATCAGCTGCCACGTTATTTGTCCATTTCTTAATTTTTTTTTGTTTTCAGACATTAATAATACATTTAATGTTACACTGGTACCTTTTACAAAAATGAAGACAACTTTTTTCATATTATAAATATACACTATACGTGTATAATAAAGAGCATTGTTTGGACTAAGTTTATTTAATTTTACCAAAAATATTTTAATACGCATATCTGGGTATAAAAATTTACCTATACGGGGTGTTCATAAAAGAGTATCAGAAACTTCAGTGGCTGATAGTACTAATCAATCTAAACAAAACAAAATCATATAAAAATTAATAAAATATTTCGTTTAGTCAATAGCCGCCATATTGAATTTTTTTTACTCATCAATTTACATTTCAAGAACGGCTATTTAATTTTTTTTTACTTAAAATAGTAAAATATGGTTGGTTTTATGAAAATATGTCAAGTACAGTTTTTTTAGCATTTTTTATTCCCTATCAAACAATCCCACAATTTTGTTAATTTGAGAGAACATTACATAACTATTTTTTTTAAATTGCCTCTTGACATATCTTGACATAATAAATGTATGTCCAAGGTTTGGTTTCCGTAGCTTGAATTATTCTTGAGATATAAATTGTTTAAATTGTATAAAACACAAAATGGTGGATAGCGGCTAAATGAAATTTTGTTCGACCTATGTTTTATTAACTTTTTTGTTTAGATTTGTTAGTACTATCACCCATTGAAGTTTGTGACACCTCTTTATGAACAGCCTGTATATTCGCAAATGGTTTTTAATAACACCATAAGGGAGAAAATCTCTGTAGTAAAATTCATTGTCCTATTTTTATTAAAAGGATATAATAATTAGAAGGCCCAATTTACAAGTTTTTGAGTACTTTAATGTGATTGATTTTTTCAGACACAGATTTCATATTGGGGTGGACGGGTGACGATTTGAAACCATCTCGTTAATAAACATGATTTTATCACATGAGTACTTATAGCTTTATTCCCGTTCACAGAATTACTTTTAATTGTTTTCTACAAGGTGGTTGATATAAGTGTGCTAGTTGTTTTATTCAAAAGTTATAAGAGATAGAAAAAATGTTAAATTGTAACTGCCTTAAATATTTTATCTAGCCACAATTTTCCCAAATAGCCGTCAACCTTTTTATGGAAGACTCTATATTTTATGACTTTTTAAGAAAGTAAATGCAATTAAAAAAGGTTTTTTTCTTGTATTTTTTTGTCACGAGCTACTCGTTTGGAGGTTACTTCTTGAAAACTACTTGAGGCGTACATTCTGCTTCATGTTGCTCCTAAACGAGTAAGTTTTGCTTGGGACTTACAAAAGGGGAATACGTCTCCAACTGTTGTTACAGATTGTCGTATGGCTTCGTGAGCAGAAAATAATGCAAATGACATATTAATGTTAGGTATCCATGTTCCGTGAATAGCGTCTTTCGGATGCATAATTGTTGTTCTTCAAAGTCTATTAGAGAAAAATATGAGATCTGGTTTTAAGCAATAAACACTTATATAGTTATACGTGCCAATTTGGTAACAGTCAAAGTCGTTGATTTATCAAAAAAGCACACACAAGAGCTAGTGGTCCAAGTTTGTAATATGCCAAATAGGTCAAGGTCACATTGTAGGCAGGATTTATGTGTTTGGTTGTCATTAGACACGATGGGTTCTTCAGAATCCGTTGGCACAAGAGTAATCTACACATGATTATGAATTTCATAATCTAGGCCCGCTTAAATGGTTTGGACCTGAACGTTTTCATAGTTTATGTTTTTAACAGTTTTTTATGTAACTATCCGGTAGGGGTCCTAGTATTTTTAGACTAACCACAAGTTTCACACACAACACAAGTTCAGTGATCTACCTTGGTTTGTGATTAGTTATGTATTTTTCTCTTTAGAATTAGATTCAGAATATGCTATTGGTAATGTGACCGTACATTTCTTTCAACATCATACCAGGTACCAGTGTCTGATCTAAATCGAATCTCGATCCTCTTTACCAGGACAATCGGAATCTTATAATTTTTTAAAATAAGCTGTAAACGTTAAATTTTTGTACGACATATTCATGCTGTGAAATGTGAGTTGACATGAGATTTTTCCGTTATTTTTATAGATTTTAATGTAAAAATCAAATAAAACCATTAATTCAGCTGTAATTCAAAAATAATATTTTATTGGCTAGGTCGTAGAAAATAAAATAAAATATAGCTACAAGAATCTTACAAATAACTAACAGATATACTACTTATATAATATTCAAAAATAATACAGTTTTATAGATATTTATAATACAATTCCTGGAACTGATCTTAGTTAGAGAACCATGGACTCTGCAACAACTAAACCTTATCAACAGCGATAAGAATTTTTTTTTATTATTGATTAGAGATATAATGCATTAGTACTTTACTGCAACATTTTTTTAATAATTTGACCTAAGGTGTAGCATGTAGTAACAGACAAAAAAAAATTACACACACACAAGCTTAAATTACATGAAGACTATGTATTTTGTAATATACTCTTTAAAAATGGTCTTTACTTTAAACAAAACGAAAAAAATCATAGTATATTGCATATTAAGAGTAGAAGGTTTCTTGTGGTGGTGGTAGTAAGATTTGATCTTACTGTACATAGCTTTGTAAAAGTTTTAAAATCAAATATTTAGTAAGTAAAGTTTAACACAAAAAAAGACACATTCAATATTTTACATATTACATATGTTGGATATTTAAACATTCTAGTAGTGATAGCATGTATACCAGAGTAATATACACTTGTTTTCTTGTCGTTTAGTCTTCAAAATATCCTTGTATATCGCAACAAATAGTTTTAGCAATACAATTTAAGAAATTAAAGTTAGTATTCAATCTAAACTCACACCAAACACGATGATATGTTTCATAGCTAGATTGTGGAAAGCCAGTGGCTGAGTGATGTTGCCCCTAGTTAATCTACTGATGGATTTAGCCACACGATATATCACTCTATGTCCATTGTCTTCACTTTCTACTGTTCCGAACGGAAAGTTTGATGAAAAACTCTGATGCAAATTTTCAGTATGATACATTTATAATAAAACTGACAACCTCTTAGTCGTTTAATTTCATTCACATCCAGAAAACTACAATAATGGAATATGGAATATGATTTGATGTTTGCCATCGCTGCCTATTTTTTTCCTTAAGGCATTTAGTTTGTTTAATCAAACTACGGTAAATAAAACTGCATGGAGGTGTCGGAGAGATATTGGCAATGAAAAATGATACGTATTAACAACATTTTAAATGTTCGAAAATGACAATATAATAAATTGTTTAATCACAAGTGCTTTCGGAAACTCGACTCAAAATTTGCAAGTAAAAGAGCATTTTCAAGAATAGAACATCACAAAACTTTTGCTTTCAGACCTATTAACCTACTGAAATCATAACTAGGCAATCCCAAATAAAAAATATCAAAATTTGACATGTCTGGAGTTTATGAAATGGATTGTAATAATTGTAATATGAAATATATCGATAAAAAAAAATCCAAACCAGATTCAATGAATACCAAGATCATGCAAAATACAGCCCTGAAAATTCAGCCCTTGCTCCACAATATTAATATAGAGGACTTCAATTTGGGAAACCTTAAAATGTTGAAACAAATTATAAAACCTCAACATTTTAATGCGTAGGAATCTTATTTTATAGAAAAGGCAGACCAAAACTATTTGGTAAATAATGAAGATGGCCCAATTATTAACTCGGAATTACTTAAAATCATTAAAGATTGTGTTTAATATAAATTGGGGGGAGCGAGCTGGTCTAGTGGTTAGAGCGCGGGATTTTTGACCCTAAGGTCCCGGGTTCAAATCCCGCCAAGTCACCAATAGATTTTATCCAAGTGATAATGCCGCAACCCCTAGGTCTAGCCTGAAGTAATGTGAAAAACAATTCCAGGCTTGTGCCTAGCATCTTAGGACAATATATATTTAAATTAAACTTTTTCTAAAAAAAAAAAAATCTTTCAAGTGTATAAGGCCTACAAGTTAGCCCAATTATTTGTTAAAATCGACACATCATCCTTTTTTTTAGGTATTTGAGGTATTTTAGGTATTTAAGCTTCCTCCATATAATAGGTAAAGTAAAGTATAGCTACGTTGTTTTATAACCAACTTTAACCATACCTGAGCCAAAGGTATATTAAATTATGCTACTGTTGTTTTACTATTTTTTATGTTTCGTTTTTGTTTCATCCTAATCTTTGTGTTACGTTTTCTTACAAAATAATCCATATTTTTGTGTGAGAAGAATTTTCTCTCACGCTACCATATGTGACATCTGTAGCACATCAGATGATGGGAGGGGGAGGTAGGGGGAAGGTCAAAGAGAGCTCTCAGTCAATAAAGATGCTGGTATAGTCATAAACTCTTATTTCTGTCCAGTAAGCGGGCCGAGGTTCAATGGCGTTGGTTAAAACCATCTTTATATCCTGATAGTATATACAGGTTTTTATATACTGGAAGACATTCTATGTTTTAAACATGTTATAAGTTGGCTAGATTGTTCTTCCCACAATGTACTGTATAAACTATATTTGATACAATGTTAGATTTGCTTGTCAATGTTATAACTTTGTAGACAAGAGTGATAACTTGAGTACAAGTGTTAAAAATGAAGGGAACTTTAAGCTAAAACAGCATCAACAAAGAACTGTACTACGATTATTGTAACAGGAGTAATATTATTACAACTGTGGTTGGATAAGGTAATCCTTTTATTTTATCAATAATATATTCCAACCAAGGGTCACAATGAATAATATCTTATTATAAAATAAATAAACTCCAGCAGTTTCATTTACAACAATTGGGTTGCTTTCAAAAAGAAACAACTGTCCTAAGTTTCTAAAAGCCAATAGAACATATTGGAATTCTCATAGTATCATGTACTAACGGAAAAATAAATACATAGTCTAGCAAAAGTGTATTGTGTAATATACATAGCGTACAGCGAGGCAACGCACTGCCTTCTCTATACAGTGGCACAATGTACTGCAAAACACTCATAGATTAACGTAAAAATCATTCAAAAATAAACATTTTACGAAAGTTTAAGAAACAACTCTTGTTTCTTAACAATATTAGTATTACATTTGCAACCCCATATTTATCAACATTGAGTTTTATATGAAAGTTGTAGTAACGATCTTCCAACTCAATTTACAACACAATCTACTCTTGTGCTCAACTCTGTGGGTTTCTTGTTGTTTCGGGATGGAAAGAGAAATTACATTGTCCAATTTATGAAGAAACGTCCTTCGATCAAATCAAATCTTTTATTGGACCAGAATTAACAATACAAGTCCATTAGTCAGATCATAGAAGTACAATAAAACATGTTTTACACGAGGCTTATATTTGGAAAATGTCGTTCATACTTAAAAATATTAACATATTATTTTTATACATGAATATTTGTAATGCCATAACTGGACCTGAGCACTGAAATGCTGCAAGAGCAAAATTTCAAATAAAAATATTGTATTTATTTATTTGTATTTTTAGCTTGGTTCTAGCTTACGAGAAAGTGGAGATCAGTGGAAAAGTAGAATACCATTACCATTGTACAGTAAATTGCCCACTTTAATGTGGGTTACAATCAAAATGTTAGTTTCAGAAAATTCTTGTTTTGCAAATCTTAAATATTCAAGAATATAAATCCATACAAATATCAGAACGTTCCAATTGTAAAAAGTAGTATTTAAGAGGAAATGGGTCTCAAAGCAAATTAAAAAAAAATTTGGGGACAAATGAGCCAATGGTATGCAGTTAGCAGTACATCCAGATCTTTGTTGATCTTGAGGTTACGCAAAACAAAAATGCCACAACTATTTTTTATGTACTTGTTGGGTCATGAAAACTAAGTATCTCGTCGTAATGTAAAATAATGTAAAGTCGATCAAAGGAACTCGACGGGTGTACCTCAGTTTTGTCCAGCAGGAGACTA